AACCTGGATGGGCAGGGAAGTAAACGCTGAGCCACTTGATGGTGGTGGTGGTGGTGGTAGTTTTTGAGTCAGGTGAAAACCAGCGTCATTTGAGCAGTAGGTGTATCATGCGATATTGAAATCTCAGCCCAGTGAAGTGAGAAACCTGGTAGAATTCTTTTTTCTATTGTTGTTCATTGCGGAGTCATCATCTGTTACTATGGTAGCAAGCAATAAATAATGATATAAAGGGATTAAAATGAGTGCTGGTATTGCTGGCATGTGGTTGGAGGGTTTTATTCTTGGTCTGAGTGTCATTTGTGCAAAATATGGTGGTGCATTAAATTGAAAAATAGATTTATTTTTTTTTAAGTTGCCCATTAGTGACTTATGGCAATGGTTTCCTGAATGAGGCTGACCCTGCAGGCCTTGTGTCACATAAATTAGTCTTTAAATCCTATTTGGATGGACTGTCTCCAGCTACTCCACTCTGATGCAACAGTGTCTACAAAGGCACTTCTCAGAAGACTGAACAGTGGGCCTAGCAAGAGATTTCACAGATAAATAATGAATAGTTCTGAATATTTTTCAGTTAGTGTGGTTGTGAATGGAGAGGAACCTGGCAGGAGAAAGGAGGAACATATCAAATATATCCCAGGAGCGTCTAGAAAGTTGCTTTTTCTAAATTGGTTTACAAATGCAAATAAACATTACACAGTGTCTGAAAGAAAAGTCATTTTTATTTTGCGTAACAACCTAAGACCACTCATTCTTTTGCCTGAGGAAAAAAAAGAGATTTATTTTTAAAATTGTAGCAGAAGGTAACAGTAAGCAGGACTAGCAAGCTGCATGTCTTTTGCACATACGTGAACTGAGTTGAGGAGAAAGAAGAATGTATGTTTACCACCTTCCTCCAAAACCTGGGGCTGGGCACAACAGCTATCCAGGGAGAAAGCTGTAATGACCATTTCAGATTACTGCTTCCTTTTATTCAGTGGAGCGCAGTTATAAAATAATGCCACAGCGGTTCTTGTTCAAGCACCTCCTACGCTGAGGTCTCCTGGAGCCACAATGTGATGCGAAACTCACCTGAACTCCTCCTTAGTCCCAGCATGGCCTTCCAGCTGCGGGTGAGAATTGGTGCATCTTTCCTTTCGAGAAAGAAAGAACAAAAAAAAAGAAAGGAATTGTGTCTTTCTACCATTATGACTGGCAGGGATGTGGTATGCTGTTATATATGCCTTTTCATGTTTCCGTTATGCATATTAGGTTGAATAATTGTCATTATTACTCCACACAAGTGCTTGTTCTCCTTATCACAGGGACACGTAGTTGGGAGATCATTTCTCATCGTTGTTGCTGTTATATTTGTGTATAACACTTTCAGTGTTAGAAGACATCCTAAACAGAACAACAATAATAGTAAAAATGGCCAAAAAAAAAGAAATTACAAGGATATTGCTAAACAGTGTGACTGCTTTTAAACATTTGTGCACAAATATTAGATCTAGGTTTGGACCACTGTGCTCATCTTCCATGGTCGATGACCTCAGTTAAAGTGAGGCTAAGTTGTTGCTTTTCAGATGGATTTGAATTTTACTTACGTTTTCCACTGATGCAAGTACCTGCTGTTTTATGATACAAATGTGCATAAAATGGAGACGCTTGTTGGCCACATAGTCATTTGACTGCTGCTGCTTAGAATATGATAAAAGCTCCTTCACGTCCATGATGCATTCGGCTTCACAGCGAAGAGAGAAAAGGATCTGAGGATGTCAAATTCCTCAGGATCCTGCTTTTCAGTGGAATCTGGTGCTCATAATTAAGGGAATTAGTAGCTGTCTGCCTTGGTTAATAGTCCAACATGTTACAAGGCTTAGAAAATGTAAGAGTTTGCAGAATAAGAGCATATTACTTAACAGGATTTTGGTGTATTTTATCAGTTAATAATACATACTGCTATTTCAGATAGCCATGGAAAGCCAGTCTTTGTGAGGGTTGATAGATACACTTAAGATACACTAATTGCTGGCATGCAACCTGGATGTTATATTCCACTAGCCTAGAAAAAAACATCACCTGGATCCTGTGTACAAGTATCTGCAATTGCAGGAGAGTCCAGTTAGAAGATCAGTGGTCAGGGGATCTTTAGTTTTACTGTGCTACGAGGTTTACGGCTAATTTCTTATCTGAACGTGAGCACTGAAGAAAAAAAGGGGATAGCAGAGGAAACATGAGGGCAAGGTATGTAAATTAAGCAGAGAGGAGGTAGAGTGAGGGTGACCGTGCTTGACACATTACGCTGTTTCCCATTGGAGAGCATCCCATTAGTGCTATTGCTGTTAGGAGAAAAAGGGGCGAGGGGGAAGCTTGTTTTCTGTGGTTTGAAATGTCATGCAGGTAGTACTCTAAAGCTGCAAACTGTCAAATGTTTTTCAGTAGAGTCCAAATATTTTTAACTTCAGAATTTTCCCTTTAAGCTGATCCAGCCTGAACATTTACATCTCACTTCTGTGAGATCTAATAGGAAAAATCTTGTCAGCAGGCTGATAAATGCTAGTCTTTTTGTTTGATTGCTTGTTTTTTTTAGAGAGATCTGAAGACTTAGATTTGTTTTCTGGTGCTCTGTTGGGAGGCAGTTTCTACACCTTGGATAGAGGAAAGGGATGTTGTATGGTATATTGCGTGTGAAGAAGCTTCACTTAACTCCTTGCATGTAAGACCTAGAGCAGACTGAAATGCAATGGATTCTGTGCCTGCCTGCAAAATTTGCACTGGTGAAATAGCACTTCATGAAATATCAGGTGGGGTACATGGTTGTCTCTGAAAAGTTTTGACTTTTAGTATTTCACACATGGATATTTTTCTGTAAGTGTGTCCACAAACAAAGTGACCAAACTCTGGAGAGCTGGCAGCCAGATCTTCAGTTTCATGAAGGTTTGTGACATTCTTGTGGGCACAGGACAGTTTGCATAGATTTTCAGTTTCATGAAGGTTTGTCACATTCTTGTGGGCACAGGACAGTTTGCATGTGGGGAATTCACAGACACATTACCCTATATTGGATTTCCTGCTTTACTCCTTCCAGGAGTTTACAACTTCTGCTCAAGCAGAGCCGTGTGTGCTCCACGGAGATTTGTTCCAGGGGAGCTCAGGTGGCATTCTCCTTGCTGCTGTCTCCTTAGGATTTCCCCAGACATCTGAATTTTTGATTGTGCTCAAAGATTCCTGTGCATCCCCAGTCCCCGCTGAAACTGCCCACTCTTGTGAATGCACTGGCTGTTGGCGGGTTTCATGTGGCAGGGAATTTGCCACATCTTTTCCCTGCAGATAGGCGGTTCTCCAGAGATGTCTCTTGAACCCCTACAGGCTTGAACCTCAGAGCTTTTTGATAGATTAAAACTCATTCCGTTTTCAGTGAAAGCTGTCATAAAATGTCATAAAATTAAATTTCTTTGCTGCAGGGGCTGAGAGACTTCCCCAACCAGGTTGGATAATTCTTACAAGTAAGACCTAGAAATACCTCCTCTTGGCTTTTTTTCCTTAATAGGATGGGTAGTATTTTTTCCCATGTGTGTTTTAGATATACCATCTATGGAGAGCAGCAATGTGTTTATCATCAACAGTGAAAATACTGACCTGGAAAGGACTCTTTTTTTTTTTTAAACATATGCATTGATATGGATATAAGGAAAACAAAAACCCCACAGCTGCTCCGCCTGCAGGGCTTTTCTGAATAGCAGAATGGATCAAAGGATGTTTTTATTTCCTTGTGAAGAGGAAAAATTCATCACTTTATAAATCACAGCAAAAACAAATCAAATCAATACCAGGAGCTTTTTAATAATCATGCATTTCTTCTGGCTATCCTCAGTATAGGTCTCAGCAGTGGGTGCTGCACACAGCTAAAAAGAGTGAACTAAAACCTGTCTCTGACACTGGTTTTCACTTAGCATTAAGGAATTAACTGGAGTACCAGACTGTAACATCCCAAACACTGACGTGCTTAGAATCTGAGAGCTAAATCTGTATTTTATAGCTTGAGTTCATCTGAACTGTGAAGTGGTATTATAAAATAAATTCTTCCTTTCTTCAGAATTCAAGAACATGTTAGGTAGTTTTACTTTTTTCGTCTGTTGTGTGCTGTGGCTGGGTCGTTAATGCACTTTGTCCGGTTGTTAGCAACGCATCCTGAATGTCTTCTGTAGACCATTGCGATTTGAACACCTTTTTTGGTTGATGAATAAAGGAGACGCTCTCTCTTACCTTCTGTGGAATGTGTTGGCTTCTGTCCTGATGAATGTTACTGTAGGATGCAGTCATTTATTTTAACTGTGTTGAGAGACTTTCAAAGCCATTATATGATCTTGTTACAAGCCGGCATATTCGTACTGTATATCAAAGGATGAAAGTTAGCGCTGAGATCATTAAATAACACTTACTTTCAATAGAGCTTTAAAAAATTCTGGCCCGTGAATTTTGTGATTAGAAGTAGATCATCTATTAACAAGTTGGTGCATGGCTAGGGAATAGATCCAAGTGCTTCCTAAACTGGAGAAGTGTTGGCTGGGTACAGCAGTGAGCAGTAAACAGGGTATAAAAAGCTATGAGTAGTAGAGAAAAGGATTAAGAAAAACATAAAGTTTTGTATTACCTCAGAAATAACTGAGTCATGCAGTTGCTTGGTGCAGGCGTGAAGTTATTAGCAAGGGAAAAAACACATCACAATATTTTATTGTCCCTTCTTTAGGTGTTAGGCGTCCAAGACTAAAACCAAATATATACGTGTATGGGTTTTTCTTTGGTTTGTTTTCCTTACTGACATTTCATGTCTAGACAAAGTGTGATAGAGAAAGCTATTTCTGAATTATTTAGCAGTAATTAATAATGTGAATTAATGTTGTGCTGCAACTACATTGACCCTTTCTTATACCTACATTGCATTGTTCAGATATCCAAGGATACTACCAAAGTGATTTTGCTTAAAGTGTTACATTTTATTTTCTTTTCTTTTTTTTCAGGTTGACTTTGAACAACTCCAGGAAAACTTGTGTCAGATGGAAAGACGGTGCAAAGCATCATGGGATCACCTTAAGGCTATAGCAAAGCATGAAATGAAGCCAACTCTAAAGCAAAAAATGTCCGAGTTCCTTAAAGACTGTGCAGAAAGAATCATAATCCTGAAGATTGTTCATAGAAGAATAATTAACAGGTACGGAATTAGATTGGTGACAGCAATATCTTGATAATAAATGACTTGCTAAAATTATAAATTATGACATCATAAATATGTTTTTAAGTGTGTAATCCACATTCCAGCAAGTAGTGTTACCAGGATGTATGTGGTGCATTCTTTGTTATAGACACCATTTAAGAAAGATCCCTACTCCAGAAAGTTTCTGAATTTCTGATGAAAAGATCAATGATCCAGGCAATCATTTATTCCCAAGGTGCAATAACTGTCTTTTAACACCTAGTCCCCAAAAGCCAGCAGCTTTATGGTTAAGTTGCTATATTTTCTGTCCTTCCCTGAATACTTTTGAGGGGGATTGACTCACTCTCTGATAAACAAGAACAGGCTGTAGCAAAAAAATGAAGTTCTAATGACGAATTTGTCATATGCAGATACTGAAACGAGTCTTGTACAATGAGTTCTTCTATAGGCAGCACCACTCCTATTTGCAAGGTCTATGACTTTGTGTTTTATGCCTACGCAGCAGAAGACAGAATTAAGATTCCTCTCCTTAGGACTTGCTGTTGGGTTTAGTTTCATCCAATGGAGTTAACAGTAATTGCAGTGCTTTGAAATGTACATATTCATGGTAATTCTGCAATACACCTGAGCTGCTTTTTTTCAGATTCACAAATGGAGCTTAAGTCATCTGAGTAATTTATCTGTGTTCCTGCTTATTAATGAAATTTTGAGAGATTTTCCAACTTGTGAATAATTTCCAAATTGCTGTGGTCAAAATTAGGATCTGGATTCCAAATGATCCTAAATTTGTGGATATACTCTTGAGAAGTTGATTCAGCTCTTCTTTTGTTTTCATAATGACTTGGTTTTCATGCCATAAGTAAGCAGACATCCCAATTGCAGTGGAAGGGAAGTGAATTCACCAGTTTCCTGTTGTGTTTATCATATGCATTGTACAAATAAGAAAAATATTAACTTTTTCCTATTATGTCCTGCAACTACTACTATACTTCTCCAAAAATGTATCCGTGTACATGCATCTTTCTAGGATTGGGAAGACTTTTTATTGTCAGGGATGTAGATGCAGTTAAAAGGAATTCCCATACATTTTTAAACATTCAGTGCTCTATTGTAAATCATGCAATATAGAAGCAATAGTAAAAGTTGCAAATACTGCAAAAGCTCTGAATGCCACAGAAGCAGTAAAACTGTGAATTGAGAGTATCCCAAACTAAAGTACTTGGTAGATAATACAATTTTATGGTCAGTTTTGTGAACCAGAAATGCTTTCCTTCTTGTGTTTGCTAGCCTGTAAATCTGCATTCTTCTTGTCTAGACTTTCCCCAACATCCTAACAGCCTCTTTGAAGTTGCTTAATACAAATAAATAAAATTGAAACTTAATAAATATTTTTTCTATAACTGAAATGAAACTGGTCATTCACATGCCAAATTAGTCATATAAAGTAGATGGAGTTCCATAAACATCTTATCTCCTGCATCAGCCTGGGAAAGTGGACTGGGATGAAGTTATCATAGACTAGACTTTCATGGTTTTAATTATAAAACATGCCAGTGTTATGCAAAGCATCCATGAAAATTCTGTAGCACAAAAGAAATGATGGGAGCTAATAAAGTAATAAATGGATTCACTGAAATGTGGGGTTTTTTTCCAGAAACCATCAATAAAGATTTTTTCCCTTTGCATTTATGAACTCATTGTTTTCCAGGTTTCACTCATTTTTGTTATTTATGGGCCATCCTCCCTATGCAATACGTGAAGTCAACATCAATAAGTTCTGCAAAATTATTAGCGAATTTGCTCTGGAATACCGCACCACCAGGGAACGAGTTTTGCAGCAAAAACAGAAACGAGCTAACCACAGGGAAAGAAACAAGACCAGAGGGAAAATGATAACAGATGTAAGTGGCAAAACGTATCTCCCACAGCATGGATTTTTAAAACTTTCTTTCATCGAATGTCGTATACGAAGTGTTGTTACTCTTTATTTTTATTCTTAAGAGGTTCTTCTACTGTAAGTAATGAACTCTGTTCTCTTAGAAGAAAAAACTTGCAAGTCCTTGATTGTGTATATTTCTTGCTTCATACCAATTTATAGAATGACAACAAACTGAAATTAAGCATCCAAAAAGAGCATCTCTGTGTGTTGCACAGACGGTGCCCAAAATATCTAGAAGACACCAGGAACTGTGTGTACCTGATCAGCCAAGAATATGAAAAAGGCAAAAAACCTAGAAATTAGGCTCCTAATTGAGGGCGTGATTTAAATGATGAACCATTGTAGCCATTTAAGTGGTTACAATCGAATTTAAATGGCTTTTTTCCTCCATCTTTGAATATTCTAATACAGTCTTTAATCTTAGTATTTTATCTATTTTTATGTGTGTATATATATGCATGCACACGCGCAGCAATTTTCTTCTTAACTTTAAAGCACAGAACAGCCAATTTTATGGGAACAGGCTACTTTGGGGTTCTGAAAGAATGGACAAATTTATGTTCACAGTAGATGTTACCCTGCAAATTTTTTGACTGTATGATTGCATACTGATAGAATAAATTAAAATAGGATTAGTTTTCTCAGCATAGCAAGCTTTAAAATCCCCTTGATTTTTTTTTTATCTTCTTTTTTTAAAATTGATGTAGTTTGACTCAATTCAAATAAAGTTTTAAGAAGTGCCAGTACTTAATAAAAGTTTCCAGCTGTCTCAAAATCCAAATCTGGAGTCTCGATCAGATGCGAGTGGTTCATTGCATATAAAGCTGCCCCTGCCTTTGGCATGAAAAGCCCTAAGCTGATTACAGTTTTATGGCTCAGGCAACATGGGTCAAAATATAGATATGTATTGAGACTGATATAAATTGAGATTGTATTTAAGTCATTGACTCGCCATCATTTGTAGATCTTTCCTGGCAATATCCTCTTTAAATTTGGAAATCTGCCCCATCTAGAGAAAATGTTAAACCTGTATTATTATCTCAAAAGATTTTCCTTTTGGTCTAGCCTCAGGTTAAGAAGAGGCTCTGATTTTATGCGAAGGGTATAGTATACAATTTTTCAAAACTACCACTGGGGAACTGAGATCACTTTCTTCAGTTGCTTCTCGGTTTTCCTGCCGTATTCTAGCAGAGCTAAAAGATAACAGTAACCGAAGAGATTAGTGAATTAAAATGCTCATTTCCTCAGGTAGCTTCAATGCTTTTCACTAGTGTAAACAATACTGAGACATGAAGGAGTTACTGTTTTCCTACTGTGTGATGTAGTGTTTCTGCATTATCTGTCCAGAAGAACTGGCTGTGGCAGGACAGAAAGCTTCTCTACGTCCTGTTCCTGCAGGAAACACGTAGGGAAAAGGAAAAGGAAATCTGATCACTGGCAGCTGGGTTCAGGAGGCGGAGAGAAGGGACCCTTTCAAACCAGAAGGTGGCTCAGGGCTGACGGCTAGTCAGTGAGGAGCAGAGCCAGGGACGGTGGCTGTTCTCTGAAAATGTAAGAAAGGAGGCAGCTAGGCCTTTCCCAGAAAATTGTATTATTGGAAGAAGATCTCTTGTTCAGCTCAAGGTAGTGTTGGGATTTGAGAAGAATTAAATGCCATCTGACAGCTAGTGTTCCACCTAAATATAGGTCTCCAGAAAGGGAGCATTTTTTGCCTATCACTAATTTACAATTATATAATGGTCCTATTAGCTTAAAAACAAAAAGTCTGCTGGAGTAAAAAACCACATTCTTTAAAACTCCCCTTATAGAGATGTTGTTTAAGGGAGTTATTCATGTGGCCGTATGGTTATTTCAGGACTTACTAAATCTCTTTAACTGTAGCCCGGTAATATGGCCTCGTTCACCATTCATTTGATTGCAGTATATGGTAAAACAGAATTAAAGTTGCATCAGACTATTTGTCACAGCTTCCTTTGACAACTTCAAAGTCAGATCTACCTCAAAACAAGTTTCCAAGTCAGCAGGATGGAAGATATTTATGTGTGAAGAATGATGAAAAAGGAGAGTTTTATTGTAGTCTTGTGTTGGCTGTGATTTTTATCTGGTCTTGATTTTCTTAGTGTTTTATATTTGAAGGCATTGGAAAGGGAAGATATATCAGTAATGCATTGACAGTATGTTCAACTAGTTACAAAACACTGATAGAAGAAAGTTTAGATCTTGACACTGGAAAGAAACTCTTTGTAGAAAGTAATCCTAATAAGAAGTAGTCATGTGGAATTTTAATTTCTGCTTTTGGTGACCTAGAAGGATTGTGCGGTTATTTGATATTTACCTCCCTGTCCTTTTGAAAGTTTCCTCAGGATCTCATTTTTATCACCTTACAGTACATTGCTTTTAGGCAGAAGAAGAGGGATTTTAGCAAAAATGGGAAAGGAATAAGCTAGAATCATCCCAGTTCTTAACGAGAAGGCACATATCTCTTAAACCTTGGTCCCCCCTGCAGACTTGGAAGGCAGAGGGGTGCTGGCTCTTTGCGTGGAGAGAGTCTGCTGGCTCTTTGCGTGGAGAACTTGCATCAGCTTCAGCAACTGCTCACATGGAGTAGGGCTGAGAAACACGATGGGGAATATTTCCAGTCTTTCTTTCAGACTTTTACCACAGAGATCTTTATATGTTCTTTAATAGCTGAAGTGGACTGGGCACTGTCAGTTTAAATCTTGGTGAATGTTGGCCACAAGAGAAAGATTGGGGGGGGAGGGGGGGGGTGTGTAAGGAAAAAAAAAAGGGAGAAGAACAGTGAGTTGCCACAGGGAAAATTGCCTAGTCTCTGTAACCTTATATCTGGCTTTAGCCAATGATAGCACTCATTTCAGGCACGTGAAAAATAACAAGCAAGCAAAATAGAGAAGAAATGCAATTATAGATACAAGTCTGAGCTTTTTAATGATTTTTAATAATAGTAGGTAATATAAGCATCTGTCTCCCAGATGTATGAAGCTCTGCTTTTTACAATACTTAAGAGTTTCAATTCCAAAATTGCTATGTAATAGAAATAATATTTTGAAATGGCAAATCCACCACATAGAAATGCTAGTCTAAAGGAAAAATGGGAGAGAGGGAGGGAGAAAGAAAGGAAGGGAGGGAGGGAAGGAGGGACATCTCAGATTGTCCTGCAACTTCCAATATTGGATGACACAAGAATCAAGCAGCCTTTTTTTAAAAAATTAACATCTTGTGCCTGCTAGCAGTATTCAGTATAGCAATATTCTTTCAGCGCTTTTTGGTAATATTACATGTTAAAAATTTCCTAATTTATTAATATTTCTCAGTGTATTTATAATGATGAAATGAAGGAGGAAATAAAAGGCAGAATGTACACACCTGGGTGAGAACAGATTCCCTTGTGAAACAAAAGTTTGATTTATTTATTTTGCTACTTTGAATCCTGTTGTCAGTATTTGCTGCGGGCAAATGGCTCTCCAGACATGGAAACATGATGGGGATGGTGAACTGCTCCTCCTGTGCACAGGAGTAGCTTTGGGTGCAGAAGGACAGCAGTTCTAGGTGTGAGCCCTCTCCACCCAGAGCAGGAGGAAGGGAAATGGTCATGCCCCGGGTACTGGAGATGAGCAAAGTCAAACAGAGAGGAGTACATTGCCCTTAAAGAAAGTCCACAGCAAATCACTTCTAGCTAGATCAAATGGGCAGGAAGGCCAGCAGCTGGGACTTCCCTTGTAAAAATCTAGCTTGATATAAACTAATAATATAATACACTTTTGTTTGGAGCACACACTTTGTAATGTGTGTACGCTGCTGTTTCACCTTTCCCTGAGTGCCTTTTGCATATTGTTTAGCTTAATTTCCTCTCCTCCTGCCTTTTATTTATTAGATAGATGTACATATGGATTAGAGTACAAGTATGTTCTTGCTTCCCATTCTTCTCCTTTCTGTTTCTTATTCATGCCAAAAAGTGAACGATGGCCTTCTTCAGAAGAATTGCTTTACGGTGTGACTCCCTGCCACCCGGGGGATGGAAAAAAACAAAAGGATTGTAAAGGGAATATCATGGAATCATAGAATAGTTTGGGTTGGAATGGACCTTTAAAGGTCATCTAGTCCAGCCCCCCTGCCGTAGGCAGGGACATCTTCAACTAGATCAGGTTGCTCAGAGCCCCGTCCAACCTGACGAGGTCGCGCTGCGAAACATCTGCCCATGTTTCTCTCAGTGCCACTGTCCAAAGAAAAATAAGCATCTCACTCTTTGAATAAAACATACCCTTAAAAAGTAATGTTAATGCGCTGCTCAGCACTCTCACAGCTAATCTTCTTATGGAGATTGTGCTGAAACTAAGCTGAGGGCCAAAGTAACATGGAATCAAGAATAGTTTGGGTTGGAATGGACCTTTAAAGGTCATCTAGTCCAGCCCCCCTGCCGTAGGCAGGGACATCTTCAATAGATCAGGTTGCTCAGAGCCCCGTCCAACCTGACGAGGTCGCGCTGCGAAACATCTGCCCATGTTTCTCTCAGTGCCACTGTCCAAAGAAAAATAAGCATCTCACTCTTTGAATAAAACATACCCTTAAAAAGTAATGTTAATGCGCTGCTCAGCACTCTCACAGCTAATCTTCTTATGGAGATTGTGCTGAAACTAAGCTGAGGGCCAAAGTAAATCAGACTTTCATGTTTAATAGGTCGCGCTGCGAAACATCTGCCCATGTTTCTCTCAGTGCCACTGTCCAAAGAAAAATAAGCATCTCACTCTTTGAATAAAACATACCCTTAAAAAGTAATGTTAATGCGCTGCTCAGCACTCTCACAGCTAATCTTCTTATGGAGATTGTGCTGAAACTAAGCTGAGGGCCAAAGTAAATCAGACTTTCATGTTTAATGATGAATGTTTCTGGAACAGAATGTATCAATCCTAGACTGAAATCATAGCTGAGATGGAGATAAGGTAAAAAATATGTATTAGTAATATGAGGGAGGGGAATAGAATTGGTGGAATGCTGCTTTTAAAAAACAAAACAAAACCCACAAATAAAAAAATGCATCGAATTTCTGGGCTATGTTTGTACTTTATAAGCAGTCAAACTGAAAATTATGGAAACAAGGAGCCCAGATACTTGAGAAACTGTGTTTTACTTTGGGAACCTTCCATGTGGGGCATCTGACAACCCTATGAAGAATTCCCCAGGCATTTGGGAACACAGCTCTAAATAGTTTGCTAATTCCCTGTAAATCCCCAAATTTAAGAACACTCCATATACCACAATATTTTGATATGCCCATTGCATTTAATGTAGTGTAACTGTCAAGATAGTTTTACACGCCTGCTGTCACAAAGCATGAAAGCACTGAATGACAAAGGATAATTGTATCTCTCTAATTCCCAGGATCTGATATCAGGCAGCTACTGAAGAACTTTAAGCATTTATTCAAAGACTACTCAGCATTTGACCTGAGTGCTCTGCTAAATTGGAAGTTGAAAAGCCCCAGCTTAAAAAAGGAATTAAAACAAGCACTTCAGTGTAGAGAAAAGGAATTGCCAAGAAGCTGACCCCTGCACTGGGAGAAAGCAGCCAGGACCTCCCTGTGCTGAACGCAGCTGGAAAAAGGAGAGGGAGTCCTTCCTAGTGTTCTCAATTTTCAAAGGGCAAAAAGTGGGCAAGCAACCGCATGGCTCAAGGGAGAGAAATAGGATGGGTTAGGGCTAGTTTCAGTTCGTAATTTCTCTAAGAAAAATCAGGAAATTTTTATATACCCTACTGACAGTGATAGTCCGTTCTATGTACAATTAACTTTAAAAAAAAAAAAGCAAGCTGATTATCTAAGGAATGAATTTCTTACACGCTTTGTATTTTTATGTCCTCCTATAATTGCATAAACAGTACCATGGTTACCTCTTACTCTGTTGTGGTTGACCATACTGTCTTTCCTAAATCTTGCTGTTTGTCCTTCTCCACCCTGTCCTTTGTTTCCGGTGGCAGACCGATGAAGAAGAGGATGCTGAGGTATGGTTCTCTGAAAGAGCATGTCATTCCCATGTCCCCCGTGTGCTGTGACACCTAATTTCTAACTCAGATAGTATGGACTGCTCAACTCCATCTGCTCAACTGGAACTATGAACCATGACATTTTTCTCATAGCTTTTTGGCTCAATCGTAAGAATGCATTTTTACAGTCAGCTTTAACCATATGCATACCTGCTCTCTTGAATAAGGATATCCTGATCTGAGGCCTTAATAACGTTAAGTTTCCTCATTTCTTTTCCTTAATGTCTGTTTACTAAACTGCAAAGTATCCCCACTACCCAAAACATCAGTGATCTGAATGTTATGGGGATCATCAGTTACCTTGGGCTACAGATTACCATGATAATTTCATACTCGTTATTAAGCTGTGTAAGTCCAAATGGTATTATTTCATAAAGTGTTCAAAAGCATCAGGATATAGGGATGCAAAGCAAATTGTAGCGGTTCTCTTTGCTGTATGAACTGCGAATAAGATACTGCAGTCACCACAGAGGTGAGCCACAGAGTAGTTCACGTATTTATCATAAAGTGCTCCTGAAGGTGATGTTGAAAATGAAGAAAGGAGTGAATAAATAATTTAAGAACTATAATGTGCTATATTCATAATAAAACAATTTATTGGTTTGAGGAGCATCTATTGTGCAATGCATTTTTTGTTCAGCATTAGAGCTTTCTTCAATTTGCTGAACATAAACAATGTGGCTTAATGCTCACTGTTTCATAATGGCAGTCATTTGCTCAAGAGGCTGGGGTTTGGGCATTAATCTACAGCAACATCTGAAAATTAAAGAAGTAAAATAAAACTTCTGGCTATAGAGCTTCTCCCCCAGTGATGATTCATGCTGTATAGCTTGGGGCGCAGAAAGAAAATTACACAAATTAGCCTTTTTATGCCAACATTTAACTAACCTGTGTGAATAGTAACTAATAGTTATGTCACGACTTTGTCCTTTGGTTTTTTTCTGGATGGTATTGATCAGCGTTACAAACCATTGTGTGTAAGAGAGTATTCTTAATGCAAAAATGGCATGCACTTTCATAGAAGTTTCTCTCTAATGGTTTTCTGTCTTTTAATTTAACGTGATACTCTAGCACTTGCACACTTCCCACATCAAAATGTTGCAAGCTAATATTTTAACAAGAAAACAAACTTCTCACTATCAAAAATAAATCTCACACTGATATATTTAGTTCAGTGCCTCGTAGGGATTATTGTTTTGCTACTGCTCCTCTGTTAACTTGCTATCCTACCCCGTAAAGTCATTATGTGAAAATAGAATTACCCTGTCATTGATTTCCAGATTAGATACTTTCAGTTTGCAGTCTTGACAGCCCCAGGGACTCGATCAAAGCCCTGAAAGTAGGGCCCAGTCTTTTCTTCCAATGTACTGTTCTCTGACAGAAAGGCTCTGCAGGTTTGCATCCCTTTAACTGACTAGCTCGATACCGTCAAGTGAATAATTAATGTTGTTTATTATGCAAAGGGAGAAGAGAATGTAGCACACCTTCTTTCATCTGTGCTGAATTGGTAGGAGTAAGAAAGATTAAAAAGAAAAAGAAAACATATTTCAGTTTCTGATGCTGGACTGATATGACTGAAAATACTGAGGGATATTATTATCTGTTGATGCCTGTTTGCTGTTGACAGAGCCTGTCTTTTCTGCAGCCAGGACTGTATTTTAAATGTGCTTTTAGCCTTTCTGTAGATAAGAGCAGTGGAGCGAATACCAGCATCACAGCCCTTTGTAGGCAGAGGCTGGGAAGGGAGAGCAGCCCAGCGATGCATGCTCTTCTCCTTAGAAAGTATCTGTTTCTGCTGTTCTCATCCATTTCTAGACGGCTGTTTTCAGTCACCGGTGGAGCTGCTGCATCCACGTGCTATGCAAGCCCAGCTAATGTAGCCGCTGTTGTTAATGTAGTCGTGGTGACAGGAAAATCATGGGGGGGGAAGCAGAGGGCAGATTCCTAAATCTCTTGTAAGGTTTTGTTTGTTCTTCTAACTGCTGACTGCAGTTTTTGTGTTTTGGCCATGAAATAATTTGGCTGGGTGTTTTGGGACCGGGGATTTTTTCAGCATTACTGGTAATGTATTTTAAGGTTACTTGTAGGTATTTGTGTTTTAGACCATTTTGAGAGTTTTCTGTGCAGCAACGCAGAGAGGCAAGAGGGAAAGGTCTCTCTTCCTCGAATACTCTTCTCCCAGTTTTGCCTTGTTACTGAAAGGTGATGGTACAGGAAAAAGCAATTTCTTATTTGTGTCGGGTCTCATGCTGTCTCCCTCAGTGTCATACCTGACCCCAGATCAGGCCCAGCCTGGGTCGAAGGTTTCAAAGCAAGCTTTTACCTTATACTCTCAGACAGAAGGTCAAAATTATAAGGCTTGAGCTAATGCATCTGGTTTTCCTCTGATTCTGTCTGCTGTTCCCTGCTGCCGCCCTGTTTCCAGTTTATTTCTGCTCAGGGTGCATGCTCTGGGAGAGGAGCAACTGTTGCCTGGCTCTTTCGGGAGTATCTGCTGTCCAAACCAGCCCAAGAGGACTCTTCTCTCCTTGCAATTCGCGGTCAAGACTCTGGCCTATTCTCCGTGCTGTTTTCTGTTAAAACAACAAATCCGTTTTCCTCCCGCAGTCTGGCAAGTTTTCCAGCAGCTCGCCCCCCTGCCAGAGCCAGCCCCAGGGGCTGCAGTACGCTGAGGACGCTGCAGAGCATGAGAACATGAAGGCTGTGCTGAAGACCTCCTCCATCAGCGGGGAAAGCACCACGGCGCTCGGGGTTCGCACTCGAAGCCGGGCCAGCCGAGGTAAGTGCCAGCAGTTTCCTTTTGGCCACATTTCTTGTGGCACAGTAGCTGCACGGTGGCCTAAACGCAGGTTGTGGCCCCCTTGCGTAGCGCTCGCGGCAAAAGGGTTGAAGGGGAAGGAGAAGACCCCAGTGGTGTTTCCACACTGGAGGTGGTGATTTGGGGCACGGGGATGTAGGAGAATTCATCTGAAGTTTTAACGCGTGGCTCACAGCCAAAGTAGTGCCTGGGGACATTAGGAGAACAAGCCTGCAGAAATTCATACCTCTCCCCCCACCCCTGTGAACATGGCTGCCCACCAACACCCCAATTTTTATTCCTGTTCTCATCATGAAGGCAAAATAGGGGATCCACGATGTGGTTTTCTTTTTATTTTCAACAGAAGCAAGTAGAAAGTAGCGATTCACATTGAAGTGAAAGGGCCTTGCAGCAGTTTAGGAATGACTGGGGAGAGGAAAAAGGGTAGGAAAAAAACGGTTAATCTTCTAACCATCTCCCTGCTAAACTGCAAAGCTAGTGGATTAAGTGGAGCCTAGGAGCATAAAAAGCTGCTGTGGACAGCCCCGCATCTCCTTGCTGTCCTGACAGATATCTCTTTCTCTGAGGTCCATGGCTCTCTGCTGTTTCCAAATGTCAGCATGGGTGATTTCTGAAAGCTGACAGGGAGGAAATGAAAACCTAACCCAATCCGCCGATTCCAACACCTGATACTCTAACAGAAGAGCTCACTGGTACAACCATTCTTGGCAATGAGATAGCCTTGTTTTTTGTCCAAGACATGATTCACTGGTACACCTCTTCATTTAAGCAGCCACTAAACCACTTCCTTTATGCTAAATCATTTTACAGACGCTGGGTTCACCAGTTTATTTTCTTTCGTCTTCCCCTCACCCCCTCCCATACACATGATACCTGGAAGAGGATTTTGGAGTAAAGGTGATGCACCAAATTCAAGTCTTCAGTTTTCTGTTCTGGTATTTCTTTTCCCTCACATCTGGATATCTTACACTTTCTTGATTCTTTTTTGATACCACTGATAGCACATCCAGAGAGCATCCACCACTAAGTCTGTGTGTGTGTAGTTTATTAATGCTTGAAACCATGATCCTGTCTAATTTAGAGGTTTCACAGCCCCAATTTAAGAAGCAAGTCAACTAGCTAAAGTACAAAGATGAAATAATTCAAGCTGCACTGCAACAAGCTGAACAGCAGAAGTAGTCCATTGAATGCTAATGAGCAGTGTGTCCTGATAATGAGAGTCAGCTTGTGTTCCCCTGAAGAACAGCAGAGGCAGAGGATGGGGGAGCCAGACAGAAGCTTGTCAGGAGCTTCTGTCGTAATACAACTGCTTTTGACGATAGCCAGGAGAGAAGCAGCAGAGCAAAGTGCTAATCAAAGCTGTTGTTTATTGACATTGGGGACGTGATATGGAGTGGCCTCGCCAGTGAATTTTTAGCTGCTTGCAATTCTACCACACCCACTCTTTTGCAAAGCTCGCTGTCGGTGTTCTCGCTGCATACTAGCCTTCAAATTATTCAAAAACAAAAAGCACACGGAACAGTAGTCTGTAGTGGCGGAACCCAGAGATGTGTCTGACACAGCTCTGTCGAGTAAGGAGTGCCAAAGCCTTGGGTTTGGAGACATGGCTCACTTGTTTGTTTGTGGTTTTAACCAAAATTGCTTATTTAGCTTTTCAGCTTGCCAGCAACTCTTGCTTTTCTGCTCATAACAGGGCACACGCAGTTGTGCCAGAACACATACAGCTCTGTGACGAGAAGGTGAATTCTTCATTGTGAAAAGGACAAGTAGATAAGTCAAACCACATTTTTTGCCCTTTTCATGTCTTCTTTGCACTAGGCTGTGATACAGATGCTCAGAAATGGATTCATTCTCTCTTTTGGTACAAAAGACCTGTCTTGCTGATTTGCATCAATTTCTAACATGTGCCATGTCTTCTAGTCTCTGTGTAATAGGAGCAGAGGGAAACATGGTCACACAACACTCCAGCAATCCTTGGCTGGAGAGACAGTCTCTAGCAGACAGTTGCCAGTTGTATGGTCAAGTATAAGACTCTGAGGCTGAAGGGAATAGAAAGTTATAATTGCATTTGAGCTCTCGGGTCTCTGCTGATACAGCAGAGAGTCTAGGGTATTATTTAGAAATATTCTCCGTTAGGCAGTCTTCTACTTTGGCCAATTTGAAGTAGCAATGACTGAGCTGTCTGCTGTAATTCCCAAAAAAAACCAATTGCAAAACCAAAGTGATACAAGAGACTTCTGTCTTCTTTTCCCTCAATTCATTTGCTGGACTTTTCCAGGCCGTATCGGTTCGTGGAACGCTGGCAACGATGATTCACCTAATGCAACGGATGACGCAGCAGATGAGATCATGGATCGTATTGTAAAGTCCGCCACCCAAGTGCCAAGCCAGCGAGTGGTGCCTAGAGAGAGGAAGCGGTCACGAGCAAATAGGAAGTCATGTGAGTATATGGCTATTAATTTTCTCAAAATAAGCAAATATGCAGATATTTATGTATATCGGTGTAGGAACCAGGCCTTTACTATGCAGACATGCATTGGTAGTTCATAGTAGCTTGAGTGTATACTTAATGGTGGGCATATATTCCTCTTGCTATTGTTTAAACGATGTATGCAGTGGATGACTGTCTTCTACAGAAGTTGAAATGTCCTTAGCAGTAAGAGAAGAAGAATGTTTTATGGTGCTTTAGAGCTTCTCTGATGACAGTACTTATTCATAACTAGAGAAGTCAGATCAAGACCTCAAATGGAGACTGTGAAGGTACCCTGAACTGGCATGAAGATTAGTAGTTGTATCTGTAGTTGAATTTATTCCTAAAGCAAAAAGTAGTTTGAGAGATTTCACCTCTTAAAATCTTTCTCTCTTGTGCTGTGTACCATCCTTCCACAGCACTGAAACCAAAATGTCTACTGCTGCTTGGCTGCAAAGTGGTTATAGAGGAGCTTAACTTCCACTGGGAAGAAAAGGTAGCACATTTATAAGGTGGTCTTTCAATGGTGTAGTGTGGCTGCAGGGCTGAGCTGCGGCACCCGAGTTCGAGCAATTTGATTTTGTGCTTTATTAAATACAATGTTTAAGAGGTGATGACCTTTCTAGTTCTTTTTTTCCTCATGTGCAGACACTACTGCAATTACTGTGAGAAGGATAAGTACCCAAAGAACATAAGATTTTAGTGTTTAATGTCATTCACCATATGTGGCTTTTTGACTACCTTTCCATCCATCTTTTTAGCATTTCTGGGAAGTTAGGACAAAGAGGAGACAACAACAGTGAGTGAAAAATCACACAGATTTTCGGTTTTTGTGGAATTGTTCTAACATAGCGGGTGATCAAAATCACTTGGTATAAGCAGTGATTGCTATCAACTAGCATGTGCTGAAAGCATATCCACTTTCCCCAACGTGCTAAGAAAGGGACTCCTGCATGCAGCAAGGGCAAAAGCAAAGTGGACACCGGTTAAATGAGCCAGACTTTAAGCAAAGAAAATGAGCTGACACTGGATTGTCTGTCTTACTTTTCATCATACACTGTGCCGTACCTCTTTGTGGCATCACCTTCTGCTGCTACCCACTTCCCCACACGGTTCTGGTGTTCTGCACGTGCTGACTGCCCTAGTTGGCTTGTGCATATCAAATAAACCTCCTGTATGTTTGCCTATTTCCATGGTTTATCCCATGCTAAAATATCTCCTCTGTTAGCAACGCTATCTTCATGCACACACCAAAAAGTCTTATTTCTGCTTTTTGCCACGTACCTTTTTCCCAAAGAAGCACTTGCTGCAGGAAAAAAAACAAAACAAAACAGGATAATGATAATAAAAATACTATATATTTTTCCATGGAGTTCAGTAAAAACATTAACAGGGATTAAGCATTCAGTAAATGTTTAGGCTGGGACTGATTTCCATTGTAATTAATCATGATAGAATCCAGCTCTTTTGCTTGTTTGTTCTTCAAGATCTGGATGAGACTCTTAAGTGGATTAAAAGGCAGTTTCAAAACAAACATAAAGTTCAGTAGTTTAGCGTCACTTTCAGCTGACATACTGAAAGAAAGTGTGAAAGGAGAATATCTTAACTGAACTGTTTCACTCCGATAGTCAATATACCTGGATGATGAATAAATGAAGTAGTTTAGCTCTAAAATACACTCAGCTGGACTGATGATATGGCACCTCCAGGAAATGAACGGAGACCAGCCCTTGTCACTGCATCATGTGAGTTAAACGAGCAGAAAATCTTCCAGGTAGAAGTACAACACAGGTCCTCAATAAACATATTAGAAAGTAGATTTTTAGGCATACTTCAATGATTTAGATTAGCAGACGCTATGATATTTATTGTCTGCAGAGCAAAGAGACCCTATTATCTGATGAGTTTGATTCACCACCTTCAACCTTCAGGCTCCCATACACTTCCTTTGGCTTTTGCCATGAGCTTGGTATTCAATCCATTCATGAACATCAAAGCGAAACTCAGTTGAAAGGAATGATTTTTACTGTGCATCATATGTCTCATTACTTCCAGTGCAGAACTGGAAATCTTCTTAGGCTTACTTAGCATTCGGCAAAGATTTTAGTGAACCTGAGCTGAGATACGTGTTTTTAGCAAAATCAGAAACCCAAAAGATTTATATGCAATTGCACTGTAAACATTTCCTCTGGTTCAGGTAGAAGGTTCTCATGGGCGAGGGATTTTTTTTGCCATTAAAAAAAGACAGAAAAATGTGAAGTAAAAAGCAAGTGATACTCAAGTCATTTATAACTAGGGGAAAACAGAAACAGGAATATGGAAAAGGTTGAGTTAAACTCAAGAAATAGTTGTAATGGGAAAATGAGACATTTTGACATGTTCCTTTGAATCATTTTACCTTTTGTAATTGTTGAGCAGCATGACTGTGTCTGGTATGCAGAGAGCTTAGTTAGATCTTAATGACGTCGAAGAGTTTGAACTCTCAGAGCAATCAGCAGAACCGTAAATTGGGAGGAGGAATAAGGCAGTGAGTCATCCAACAAAAGACAGATGGAAACATCTGTATCTGTTGGTTGAAGATACGAAGGGTCACTGATAAATCCAGATATGACTGAAGTTGACTGAGACCTAGTAGGAAGGAATTTGTTCGGTGACGCTGAAATGGACTACAGAAAGCTAAGGTACATGATAAGTGCATAACAACTGAATTCCTGTGATGATCTGCAGAGAGAGAACTTAATTCTGTGCTAGACCTTTACACAGTGGAGGTTTTTAAAGGTCAAATTTGACATTTAGAAGTACAGTAACCAACTGGAAGTCATTGCCTCATGATGAGTGTTCAGTGGCCTGCCAACCAGACATACTGGAGCGGTGTTATATATGAGAAAACAACATTACAGTTGTATTCATTCATTAGAAGCCTCATCAGAAAGCCACAGCATTGAATGAGCCACAGAAACTGAAATGCTCTGTCACCCCTCGAGGTGGTCGTTCAAAGACAGCTTCAAGGCAAGTTGCCATGGGAAGCTTCTACTGTTTTTTTTTTTCTCTCTGATGTCCTTATTCTGTGTGTAAACAGCAGACCCCAGCTTCTAGAGATGTCAGATCAGCATACTTTAAAAGCATAAAACACAAATTAGGTTGAGAATATACTGTTTCTGTTTTTGAAGACTGAGGGCGGCTTTCTGTGAGAAAGGTTTTTATAACATTGTGGGGAGCTGTTCAACTTAGCAAAGAAATGAAGAATAATATAATTAAGATTGTCTGGTTCTCCCATAAGGTTCGGATGACCTTCACAGATGATGCCATAACAAACAATGAGTGCAAAGGAAAATTGGGATAAGGAAGTTTTAAGATTCATTCCATTTGATAGTCCGAATTCCAATTAATACAATTGCTGAAGTTAATTTTAGCAGCTTACAGAACAGTATTATAGGCATCGCACCAGTGGATTTGGGGAAATACAAATGAAACTCTCTGTATGAGATACCACTGAGATTTCAAAAAACAGTCAAGAAAGGAAGTTATTTAATACAGAGAGCTGAATATAAAAAATTAATATAAGGTAGATAAGCAGAGTTTGCTGTGCGGATTACAAGAAGCGAGGTAAGAGAAGAAATTATGCAAAGAAGAATAGGGCTGCTTAGAAAATCCTGTTACTAAATGAGAGTTTCACACCATGATGAACCAGCCTGTGCCAATTGTTTCAAATTGGGGGAGAAGCAAAATAGGTCTTACAGCCACGGCAGCTTTGAGGCAACAGAAGACACATAAAGACTAGCAGTATCATCCACAAGATAAAAATTTTACTTAAGTACATTTAATTAAAAGAACCCCCCCAAAACTCCATAATAGGCAAATAGGAAGATAATGCTGTTTTCCTTCTTGTCCTGGCTGTTTATTTAAAACATCCATCCCCTAACATAAAACCAATTCTGTCAGGATTAGACTCTTACGGAGGTGCCGTCTCTGTGTTGGTCTTGTTGAACTGAATGGATCTGTCTCAGGAGAATGATAGGGTTCCCATGAGTCAGCATCACGAAAAATCATACTCCAGTTTAATAGTCATGAGTAAGCATATGGCAGGTATTTGCACTAATTCTGGCATACACGGAGCAATACTTGGAAATGTTGAGCCAAACAGGGTTGATTTTTGACCTCAGCGAATGGCCGTGGCAGGGCACTGAAAAAGGACCAAGAGAAAGTCCTAGGGATTCGTTACCTTGTTCAAGTGCTGATTAAGCCACAGGGTGGCAAAACCAGACCGGCTGACTAGCAATGACCTTAAGGCTAAAACATGAACCTGCAGGTATCTTCCTCCTTCTTTATGAATTGTTAGTATTAGCAACCTTCATGCTTGAAAATGTGTCTCCTGGCTCCCTAAAGTCAAGGCAGTGGTCAAAGAGTGGGGATCCCGACATGGTCTTGCCAACAAATAATTTCAGATAATTGTACCAAGGAAATAGCTCTTTAAAGATGGCTTGACTACACAGCACTGTTTGCATCTGGATCTTCAGCTGACCTTGAATGGTAAATCACAATGTAGCGCCCAGGTGTGACTAATACTTGATGGTGAGGAGCACAGTGGTGGTTGTATTGGATTCTGCTGGAGACACTGCATGAGGACATTGCAGAGAGGCTTGTTTTCCCCCACATAGTTTTATCTCAGAGTGTCTCTCTGTGTGTGCACCCCTTATTTCTCTTAGATTTTATTAAAATTGAAAATCCGCTTTAGATTTGAGTAAGAGAAATGGTTTTGGAGCAGATCATAATTGAATCAGAATTCAATCCGATATTTGAATGAGACGACATGATCAAAATTATTTGTGATGTTTAAAAAAGAAAGAGGAGAGACATGATAATGCCTTGTTCTTTTATTAGGTTTTGGAAGCACATGTTAGCCTAATAATATACCCTGTGACTGATCCTTGAGATATGGAAACATCTCATAAGGATTTATGGATTTATTT